ATGAATGATACTATAATCCACCTTTACCCCAGTTTGTGCTTAAACATCAAAGACTGCCCGACAACTTAACTGCCCCATAAACCATGGGCATATATATCGTCAAACAGAGCTACCCAGTGAACCGTAGACAGAGGGAGAAGAGGACAACAAACGAGGGGCTGTGACAAACGAGGAGTTTATACCGTCAAACAGAGCTGCCCGGAGTTTATACATTGACTACATATTGTCACAAACCTAAAATTTTAAAAAAATTACCTCTGACAAAACAGTTGCCCGTTATTGCGGACACCTGCTGCATCTCTGGGGACTTTCAAGTCCCTCGTCACTTCCAACTTGGCGCTTCATTTATCTACTCCTTTAACCAGGTAAGTTAGGATAAAGGTGAAGCAATTTGGACAAACGAAAATTCAATTGGACAGCCATCAAAACGAATTGGTCACTTCCATTTTCCTATTTAGTACATAATCAGAACCGATTTGGAAAGCCAATATAGGTTGGGAGAAGTGATGAGCACTTTGGACATATCAGAATTAGGTTGGGAGAAACAATGAGCATTTTGGACATACTGGATATAGGTTGGGAGAAATGATGAGCATTTTGGACAAAAGGATTTAACAGTTTGGACACTTGATAGAGTTGGGCAGATTGATTTAACAAATTAGTATTGTCAAAACCACATTTAGTCCAACAATCAACCGATTTGATATTCCGCACAGACCAGTGGGACCGACAAAGATATCAATTTAGTGAAGCGATTTTGCATGTTAGTCACATGTGTCTGAATCACGGGCCTGCTGCTCCCATAAACTGTCGACCTAGAACTTTGCCTCGATTAGCTTTGCCATCAGCGAACAGTATATTCAGTGGCTCCAGCAACAGCTGGATTTGAATCCAAGCTGCACGATACAGGCGCAAGAGGAGACCCCTACCCCTACCTCCTCTCCTCCTGGGTGTCTCTGTGCCATCAGCCTTGAACGTGATAACGATGTTAAGCACAGTAGTGCATGGAAACCCATAGCGTACTGCAGTCTCTGCAATCGTTTGGCCTTCAACGAAGATAGACTCGATGATCTTTCGCCTCTGAACATCATCAATGGGGTTGTACCTGCCTCGCCTGCCTCTAGCGGACATATTCGTGCAAGACCAGAGACCCAGGCACGTGAACGCACAAGGACCCATGGGTCGATGCTCCACCTAAGTGAATGCACGTTGCTGGATGCATGCAGCACATGCGGGAGGGCATGCACGTGGGTAGCCGTACCTCGGTGGAGGTGCGCAGCACACACGTGAGTGATGCACGATTTTCTATGGGGCCCACCAATTTATGCGCTCATCAGTCTAAATCGTTCCTTCGTTTGACGGAGGACATAGTGTATCCGTCCAAGTTTCTAGACTAGTTGTCCATATGGGTCCACAAGATGTCCTATTCTGATCTACGGGTCCAAGAAACTTCTACAAGAATCTAAAACGCTTGGACTACATGGCCGATTTTCCAATTCCAAATGGGTTCGTCGTTTCTCTAACCTAGGCTCGTTCACCTAATTTGATTAAAAAAAAATCCTATTCCAATCTGCCGGTCCAAAAAGCTTCTACGAAATTCCAAATCCGTTCGCCGTTTCTCTAACTTAGGCGCATTCACCTACTTTGATTAAAAAAAAATCCAATACGGTATTGTTTTTGGCGAGAACCCAGTAGGGCCTGCCCATTTCGGTTCACAAGATGTCCAAATAGCGGCAGTATGCATCTGACTTACCTGGTCAAAGGGGTATTTATTTATTTATTTTCTCGCTTTTCCCGTTGCCAACGGATATATATCTCGCCAAACAGACCTCCCCGGTAAACCGCAGGCAGAGAGGGAGAAGAGGACAAGAAACGAGGGGCTGTGACAAACTGTTTCGTCGGAGTTTCACCGACTCATCAGGAAACTGAACCAAACAGAGCTGCCCGGTAAACCGTAGGCAGAGGAGAAGAAGAGGACAACGAACGAGGGGCATGTATATTGTCACAAAATTATCAGAGCACAAAAGCGAAAAGAAAACAGAAAGAAAACAAAGAAAAATAAATTCATTTTTTTATCTTCTTCCTTACAACTCCCCCTGTTCAGAACCTCTTGCGTACAAGGCCGCCCACGTGGATGTAGGTTGAGCGGCGGCTGGCCCCACCCCCGTGTGTCATATTGACCCACTTGCACACAGCCAAAAAAGGCGAAGAGGCTATGAAAAGAGGCAGGCAACAGCCAAACATTACAGAACAGGGGGCAAACAAATCCTGCATGACAAGTCCCACATGCAAACACCGCCCCCACGTCACAGGCCAAACGACGGGACAAACCTGCCAGGATTCAAAACGCGATAAATCCTTCGACACCACCAACAAATATGCATAAAAAACAAGCCCGGTTGACGATTCCCACATATAAGCACCGCCCCCGCACTATAGGCCGATCAACGGAAGCAACTAACCAGGATGCCAAAAAACACCTTATCTGCAAAAGAAATGAATTTATTGCAGCTACCGCAACAAACATAAACGACAATCCCACATGACGATTCCCACATAAAAGAACCGTAGGCCGAACAACGGGAAACAACCAACCAGGATGCCAAAAAGAGAACCCGGATGACTAGTCCCACATGAAAGCACCGCTACGCATTCCAAACAGACCGAACAACGGGACAAAACCAACCGGGACGCAGACAAGGTTACCAAAACAATTCTGCCATATCAGTAGTAAAAAAACGGAACCATACAGTAGGTCCGCAAAACGAAATACCCCAACCATGGGGAAGAGTAAAACAGAAAAACAGAAGAAAGAAAGAAGAGAGAAAAGAGAATCGAAATTATTTTCTTCCATAACCAAAGAAGAGCCTGCTCGTACAGGCCCGACGCTCGCCGCATCATCTGCAAAAGAAGAGAGCTCGCAACGTCGGAGTATATATTGTCACAAAATTATCAGAGCGCAAAAGTGAAAAGAAAACAGAAAGAAAACAAAGAAAAACAAATTCATTTTCTTTATCTTCTTCCTTACAACTCACCCTGTTCAGAACCTCTTGCGCACAAGGCCGCCCACGTGGATGTAGGTTGAGCGGCGGCTGCCCCACCCCCGTGTGTCATATCGACCCACTTGCACACAGCCAAAAGGCGAATAGGCAATGAAAAGAGAAAGGGAACAGCCAAACATTACAGAACAGGGGGCAAACAAATCCTGGATGACAAGTCCCACATGCAAACACCGCCATATCGTCAAACAGAGCTGCCCGGTAAACAGTAGGCAGAGAGGGAGAAGAGGACAACATACGAGAGGCTGTGACAAACTGTTTCGTCGGAGTTTCACCAACTCATCAGGTATGTAAGTGGAAAGCGAGACCATGATGCCTCGATGATAAGGAGTAATAACGGTAGCATTTGAAAAGGACTTAACGGTAGCACCACACAGCAACCAGCCAAGGCGCAACTTCAATTGCACATGGAGTCCCCTAACCAATGAATGATACTACAAGTGGTACTCCACCTTAACCCCAGTTGTGATTAAGCATCAAAGACTGCGCCACAACTTGAACTGCCCGCTAAACCATGGATATAGTCAAACAGAGCTGCCCGGTAAACCGTAGGCAGACAGGGACTGTTTCGTCGGAGTTTCACCGACTAATCAGGAGGCTGAACCCTCAACAGTCTACAGAATCCCCTAACCGATTACACTGTAAGTGAAAATCCACCTTAACCCCGGCTGTGGCACCAACCACTGCCGTCAAGGTACCTGTGACGAAAATCAAAGCAGACTATCACTCACCCACACCAGATGGAAAACTCTACAGAAACTGTCGGTTCACACCCCATCACAAGCAAGCAAACCACGAAACAAAGAAAGGTCTATCACAGCCAAAAAATAAACTCCAGACATATGTATACACATATATCGTCAAACAGAGCTGCCCGGTAAGTAGACAGCGAGAACATGATGAATAGATGATGACTACAGGCTTCCCCCGAATAGCACGTACGATCACTGTAGGCGTATTTGGCTCACCTTTGAGTCCTGATGCAGCGAAAATGACCGTACGTTCTATACGAGGGAAGAAGATGATGGTAGCACCACCTAGCAACCAACCAAGGTGCAACTTCAGTCGCGCATGGTAGGTACATTTTGCTTGACGCCCTGAAACAGACGTGGAGGCTAAGAAAAAACGAAAATAAAAAGACGTGGGGGCTTCAAAAAGAAGATAAAACAAAAATAGAAAAAAAAGAAAACGTGGAGGCTTCTACCAATCTCTCTCATCGGCTACGTGTAAAGAGGGTGTGGATGGTGGAAACAACAGAGGAAGTTACAAGGACTTTTCAGCAATGCGAGAGACTCGGTGAGGAGCGACATCGAAAAGTTTTAATGAAATTAAACCCCACATATGACTTTCGTTGAATATTTGGAATCGTTGATTACAACGAGCAGGGTGTACATTCACGTAGTGCGCCAACTCACTTAGAGGAAAACCGTTCGAGGAGCAGCAGCAGAGCAGCAGATAAGGGGATTTGAAGAGCTGTACAACACCAAAGTTGATTATTGTATCCGGAGATAATTGGGTGAATTCTTTTTTTTTTGCAATGTGCGAGCTTGGTCTGTAAAAGGAGCAAAACGTATCACCGCCATCCACGACAAAACACCAATCTATTCACCAATCAATCTATCGATCAATCATCAAGTAACAAAATTTATTAATTACTCGATTATCAATCAATTAACCAATCGATCAACCAATCAATCAATCCAAACCAATAACCAATCAATCAATCAACCAACCAATCAATCACGTAGACTCGACGAATAAACAACTACACCGCTCCCAAAGACTTCCATTAGTTGACAAAGCCACGGAGCAAGCCAGCGACTCAAGATCGAAACCCTCTCTCCCTTCTTTCCCCAGAACGCGAAGCACGCCCTCCTGTTCTCCCCCCTCCACCCCACCCCCCCGCCCTGCGCTTGGTAGTAGCAGCCTCTGTTTACGTACCTCTCGAGAATATTCCATAACCATCCCGTGCCTTCTCTGCAGGGCGTGCACTGACCGCAACTCTCGTGCTTGTAAAAATACGACAGCCGCGTGATTGCATCCACGATGTCCGTCGATTTATCCATCACCATGACGGCGGCTGTCCCGAGTCCCGACTGCACCGCCTTGAGCGCGTCATAGTCCATCATGACGTCATCGCATACGTTCTTAGGAAGGACTGGCACCGACGATCCGCCCGGAATTACCCCGAGCAGATTGTCCCACCCGCCCCGCACGCCTCCTGCATGGCGCTCGATCAGCTCCCTGAGGGGGATGCTCATCTCCTCCTCCACAGTACAAGGCTTGTTGACATGTCCAGATATGCAGAAGAGCTTGGTGCCGGCGTTGTTCTTGCGCCCAAACCCGGCGAACCATTCCGGTCCGCGGCGGAGAATGGTCGGAGACACTGCGACCGTCTCGACGTTAGTCACCGTCGTGGGGCATCCGTACAGCCCGACGTTGGCGGGAAATGGCGGCTTCAGGCGGGGCTTCCCCTGCTTCCCCTCCAGGCTCTCGAGCAGCGCCGTCTCCTCTCCGCAGATATACGCGCCCGCGCCGTAGTGAATATGCACATCGAAGTCGTACCCCGACCCGCAGGCGTTCTTCCCCAGAAAGCCCCCTTGATAAGCTTCCGTCAGCGCGCGCTGTAGATTGCGCCGCTCGTTGACGTATTCCCCGCGGATATAGATGTAGGCGGTCTGCGCGCGCATCCCCACCCCCGCAACTAAGCACCCCTCTAGCAGTTTATGGGGGTCGTGACGCATAATTTCGCGGTCTTTGCACGTGCCCGGCTCGCTCTCGTCCGCGTTGACCACAAGGTAAGACGGTCGCCCGTCTGAGACCTTGGGCATGAAGGACCACTTGAGACCCGAGGGGAAGCCCGCGCCCCCGCGCCCGCGCAACCCCGACTTCTTCATCTCGTTGACGATCCAATCAGCACCCTTGAGCACGAGGTCCTTAGTTCGATACCAGTCGCCGCGCGCCACCGCGCCCTTAAGGAAAGGATCGCCTTGGCCGTACAGATTGGTGAAGATTCGGTCTTCATCCTTCAGCCCGCCAAATGACGTTTTCTCAGATGCAGGCGGCGGCGGCGGAGGAGTAGGAGCAGAAGCAGAACCAGGAGGAGGAGGAGGAGCAGAAGCAGAAGCAGGAGGAGGAGGAGGAGGGGGAGGAGGAGGAGGTTTAGGAGTGCTTGCTGATGGCGTTGTACTTCTACTGCTCATCAAGAACTTGTCCTGAGCCGCCTGCTGGCACCCAATCACCTCCGTGCGCGCATTGCGCGAATTGCGCGAATTGCGCGCATTGCGCACCATTGCCATCCCCCCCCGGTATCCCATCCACGCCACGCGGTGCATCTTCGTCGCCATTGATTTTTTATGCCTCCAATCAAGCTGCCCGCGCGTGGGTCCCCGTCGTCGTCGAGACTCCAATCACACAAAACTGGCGGGAAGAACAACAAAAACACTTACAGCAGCGGCGGCAGCGGCCTGCGGAGTGGCCCCACGATTAATCAGCTGAATGACACTGATATCGAGTCCCCATGGATTGATTGATTGAATCAGCTGATTGATTAATTATTTTTCGTAATGAGGTTATTCCCTGTCCATCATCTCCCTCCCGCCTCCCATGCCCGCCCCTTTCCGTATATAGAACATTCTTGCTTGATCGTTACCTGCCTGTCCGCTCCTTCCGTCCGCTTGCCTGGCCTTCCTTCAAACCAAGATCCGCTACGGGCCACTTGGCGGCGAGAAGTGCGAAAAGTCGGGCATGGTAATATAGTGCTCGAATGGCTGGCGGATCGACCAACCGAAGTCAGCCACGTCAGCTTACTGACCCTGCTCAAAGGAGAGGGATGGTTGGGTTGGGTCGTTAGCGAAGGGTTAGTTCTTGCGGGAGGGGAGAGGTTGGGCCCACGTTTCGTTTCGTCCTTACCGGAGGACTGCTGCTCCAACTGCCGAATCACCGACCTTCGGCCGCCCAATCGGACGGTCTGGCGGCAGGCGTGCGGCTGGCGGGTGCATGGGCGCATCGGCGCATGCCGCTCACTATAGTTTGCAGCCGTCTAGCGCTTTTCGTTTTCTTGGCGGGGTATGGGGATCGGCATGTGCGCTCCTTGAAACACAACCACGGCAGGCGCGCCTCCATGCCGTGCAGGGCGGACGCGCAGGCGCGGCTCAATCCTCAGGAGGAGGGCAACGCGGTCGGAGGCGGGCACCCCAGCCGTCTTCCCCCGCAGATAACGCCTATGCGTTGTAAACGAATTCGCAGCCCTTAGGCTGCGGTACAGTGGGCTTCGGCGTCTGTGTCAAGGTGTCACATTTTTGGCGGCGGGCGACCAGGACGCAAGTAGGTTTTTCGGGGGCAAAAAAATTTGGGGGACCGGTCCTTGGCAAAATTGCGGACTACCTACAGCTAGCTCTGATAGAACCGGGAACTTTGGAAAAACGAAGGACCGGTCCTCGGGTGGAAGTGGACCCCAAAAAGAGGTGGGGGCATTGGACCGGTCCTCGGGTAGAAGCGGACCCCAAAAAGAAGCGAGGGCATGTGATCTGCAAAAGGGCCCTCAGGCCCAGGCGTCGAGCCCCGTCTTCTCAAAACAGGGAGGTCAGGCACAACGAAACAGGCGTTTTGCAAGAGGCAACTTTGGCGATTTTTTGTGCTCAGACGAACATGCACAAAAATCTGAAATTTTGAGAATCCATAGATGAGGGCGTGGTCTTTCCAGAAATAATAATAGAACATTTACAAAAAATAATTTAGACTGCGAAATAATTGTCGCTCCGATTCAGCACATTTTCCATTTTTGCCACTCAGCCATGCCTGGGCCAACTAAAAAGTACTCCAAATTCAGTGAGTTTTCGCGCTCAGAAGAATGCGTGAAAAAACCTGAAAATTGGAGTACTCGTAAATTTTATTGTCATCTTTCCAGGACAAACACTACATAAATTTTAAAAAATCATTCCAACTACGAAATAGATTGCGGCCGCAATTTGACCCATATTTCAATTTTACCATTCAACCTCTCTCTCTCTCTCTCTCTCTCTCTCTCTCTCTCTCTCTCTCTCTCTCTCTCTCTCTCTCTCTCTCTCTCTCCTGACGTTGCGTCACTTCAGGAGTGCGGGTTCTAAGAGAACCAAGACCTGACGATTATCGAAACTTTTCATCGAACGGTAGCTAACACATACGAGATGGCGGATCTACCGCCCGTGATTGACCTGTTCGGACAGGAACTCCAACTCATGGATTACCCATGGAGAATAACCCGCGCCGCGATACTTACGTTCATCCAAAACTGCAGGGACGCAGACCTCCAAAATAAATTCCAAGAGTACCTGGAAAAACAAGAAGCACCAAATCGACGGATATAAAACTGAAAGGTCGGAATAAAATACGTTAAGAAATTCACACGACTCGGAATAAAAAGCTAAAATTAAAAATCGAAAAATCAAAAATCAAAAATCAAAAATCAAAAATATAATTTTGCACGGAATGAAAATAAATTTTCAGGGACAAAAAAGAAACATACACGACTAAGTACCCCGGAATATTACGGAATTTCTGCAGATAAAACGACGTAACAGTGTCGCTCACATTTTCAAACATACGAAACAGATAGAAAATAAAATACCTAAAGCAGTGGAAACGAACCAATAAAGAAAAAGTACTCACCTGGAAATGAAGGAAAATCCACGACCATGAAAATAAACAAGAACAGAACAACAAACAAGGTCAAATTTAAGTCAGTATAAAAAAACAGCGGAGTTATAGGCAAGTACCACAGTAAGACGGAACTCCGACAGAGAGGAGAGTACGTGAGTAGCACGCACAAAATCATTAGATATGATGAAAGTAGCTCCAGATTGAAGGCATGTTGAAAATCGACGACGACAAGGACAACACAGAGAGCGGCTGCGAGAGATCCTAAGGATAGATGATGAGTACACTGCAAGGATAGGGAAAGTGGCGGAGAAGGACTGGGAACGAAGGGTATAAATACTGAGGATAGTGGCTGAAATGATTACATGAGCAGTGAGGTAGAAGGGTAATCGTGACTGGTGTCGCATGCCATGGACATTAGGTGTATGCTGTGAAAGTAAAACCTCGCACGTTCTGTCTACATTTACATGTGTATGCTGTGAAAGTAAAACCTCGCACGTTCTGTCTACATTTACATGTATATGCTGTGAAAGTAAAACCTCGCACGTTATGTCTACATTTGCATGTGTTTATCTCTATGCACGATGCTTAGAACTTGCGGGCGGTACCCGCGATGATTGGCACTGTATAGATCTGTCACTCTTCCATTTTACATTCACTGTCTTTATCTCTCTCTCATCATTCGTAACCCTTTTCTTTCATGATATCAAAGAGGCGATTTGTTGGAGATTACTATAGCGTGGAGATTACACAACGATTTTAAGAGAGTCTCATTGATTTGGCTACCTTAGGGTTGCGTTCCCCGCGCCCACGCGGTAGACAATATAACACACGTATTCTATTAAGAAATCCAGATATTCTGAAGCTGAAATACAAGACGCACCGGGACAAACCAAAATTAAAAAAAAGAACTCACCTGGAAATTCGCAGCCCTTAGGCTGCGGTATAGTGGGCTTCGGCGTCTGTGTCAAGGTGTCGCATTTTTGGCGGCGGGCGACCAGGACGCAAKTGGGTTTTTCGGGGACAAAAAAAATTGGGGGACCGGTCCTTGGCAAAATTGTGGACTACCTACAGCTAGTTCTGGTAGAACCGGGACTTTTGGAAAAACGAAGGACCGGTCCTCGGTGGAAGTGGACCCCAAAAAGAAGTG